TGATTTTAAACACAAAAAACAGAAATTAAACAGCAGAATCCAAACTGTCTGACTGCAGTCGCTGCTCACAACCTTCACAGCTCTACAGGAAGATAAACAACCTCAGATTCACATTCAGGACCAATGTCACCTCCTCTGCCCGGCCCGGGGGTGGAAACAGTGCATTCTGGGAACAGTGCATTCATATGAGAACAGTACCGGATACAACAACATACAACAAGTCAGCTGGAAACGCTGCTTCCTGCTCCACCTGCTGCCCGCAGGACTTTCTGTTGGACTTCAGTTCAGAGGTGAAAGGTCACCAGCAGGGGGCAGCAGCACCTGAACCCTCCGCCAGCTGGTTTAAAACAAAATAACAACAACAGTGCCCTCGAGCAAGGCACTTCAGCCACAACCGCCGCGGTGGAGAAACACGAGGAGGAATGTGCGAATGAAACATCGGTCCAGATGTTCAGTCATTATTGCCTCGAGGAGACTGAGCACGGACGGCGGACAGTGAAATGTTTGAGGCCTAAAAACTAAAAATAATCCGCCATCAGAGAGTCAGCTGGTGGACCACCTGCACAGCGAGGGACAATCTGATCTAATGGAGACGTTTCGGAGGACGATTGAGGCCAGAATTAATCAAAACAGTTTAAATAAAAGCTCAACACCAACTTTTTCCAGCGTGTCCAACCTGTCGATATAACAGACGATCGTCGGCGTATAGGTTTGCCGATAAATATCAAAAAACTGAATTAGCGAATTCATTCATTTCTAAAATAAAACCGTTGCACACAGATATCCAGTAGTCCCCGTATGTTTTTGTTTCCCAGTTTCAGTTCCAGTCCAGGTGCTGGACCATGAATCCAGTCTGCATCTGAGCGAGGAGCAGCTGGCTGAAATATTTTAGTCTTTAAACACAGAAGAGCAAAGACTTGTAATGTGTGTAAAGCAAAGATTCAGAGGGGTGGAAGTTGTGTTAACTAGGCGGTATCAGTAGATATCCAAATTCAGGTATTAGAACTGGACCAGAACCGCTCAGATCAGATCCTTTTGAAACCCTGACCATGAAAACACAAACTGAGCTGTTGTCAGATTGTCAAAAACACTGAATTTGAGAATAAAATTACAAGATTTTTCAAGATTTTCAAGTGTTTCAAGAATAAAATTGTAATTATATGAGAAAAAAACAGAGTATTTTAAAGGTCCAGTGTGTGACAGGATCTATTGTCAGGAACTGAGTATACGCCGTAGTTTCTCTGCTCCCGACTGGAAGGAGAGGGTGAAGCGAGGCAGTTGCAATCTGCCACCACACGTCTGGATGTCACTAAATCCTCCACACTGGACCTCTAAGATAGTAACTTTATGAGCATATGATTTATGACTTTCACCTATTACAATATATTCAATTTACATTGTTCTTGAAATGCTACTTTTCTTTGAGTTTATTCTAAAATGAGAAATATAACAACTTGTTCTTATAAATCTGAGGCCCGTGAAGAAGGCTATAAAACTGTATTGTTTCAAATATATATATATGTATGTTTTGCCTGAGCTGTGTCCTCCCTTCATCATCCCGACCTCCCTCTGGTCTCTCGGCTGCCGGCGCTCCACGCGTCCTCTCTCCTGAGAGCGCCGTTATCTCCGCCGCCGCCGCCCTCCTGACACCAGCAACTCTCCTCTGCACAGGAAGTGGCTGCGTGCCATCAGGAGCATCTCTAACAGGAAGTCAGTTTTACAGTGTTCAAAAAAAGGAAAATGCTGAGCCAAGTGGACAAATCCTGACAACTATTTAAAAAAAACAAAAAACGTCTCTGTACGTTTCCCAAACAAGAATGAAGCTTCCTTTCTTCTGGGTCGTACAGTTTGTGCCCGGTTGTCGCCATCGATCTCAGAGCGAGAGAAGAGACCTTAATCCGTCTGAATAAAGACGGAAGCAGAGCAGAAAGAGTGGGAAGAGCCCTTTAGACGACCTTCAAACAAACGCTTCGAAAACGATACGATTTCTTCTGCGCGTCGGTCTATTTTATACGTTTAAAAACACAGGAATGTCCACTCCACAGGGGGGTCAAAGGTGACTCCGATACAACGATAAGGAAGTGTAAAATTAAAAAAAGGATCTTATTGCTTCGAGAGGTGAGACAGACGAGAGGAAGATCAAACATTAATATTAAGAAGCTTCCCGACAAAGAACCACACAAAGAGTGAACAAACATTTCATCTTCATTTCGCTTTTCATTTTTAAACATTTTGAATTATCGTCTGACATTTTATTAATCGTTTGTTGTTTGTGGATTCACCGAGGAGACACAATGTCCCTTCGAGTGTGGTTCTTTGTCTGAACTCTTAATAACAACTCTAGCATTAATATAAATGTAAATACTAAGACACAGTAATTTATCAGTAGCGGTCAGTGGCGTTTTCAGTCTTCCACTGTGGGAAAAGCTTTTTGCTCTCTAATATGAATTAAGCTGAGAGGAGGAGTGCATGTTTGGCTCAGTGCGACCAGGAGGAGCCATTTGATTTTAAATAAATCTAAAAAGAACAGAGAGATATCACTCGCCACTCATAACAGTCGAGGCCAAATTGAGCAGATTGTCAGGAGAGCTGCTCCCGGTTCAGCCTGAGCCGACCGGAGCCAACGAAGGGGGGAAACTAACAGCATCCAGATCAGATCTGGAGGGTCACTTCATCCAGTCAGGAGAACTGAGCGTAGCTGAAGAGCAGCGGGACGAGGAAGAGCACGTTGAAGCCCACCATGCCGTACACGATGTAGCGGTAGGGGAGCTCCACCTCCATGTGCTGCCTGGCCTTCCTCACGTCTGCGCTGGGCACGCCGAACACCCGGCACACCAGCGGGATGGTGAGGGCCTTCATCAGCGCCCGCGTGGCCACCAGCACCAGCACGCCCAGGACGAGGCGCAGCAGGGCCACGGCCACCAGGCGAGCGTTGAGGGCGGGCATGGTGAGCGGGAGCTGGTCCGGCGTCGGGTCGGGCATCAGGCCCAGGAGGTGGTTGACGTGGGAGGCCAGGGCTATGCCGGCGCCCGTGCCCAGGATCTGAGCGGTGTCGCCCCGGGAGGTGCTCCAGGTGTCCAGGTTGAAGGAGAAGAGGCCCAGGCCCAGGTGGAGGGAGACGATCATGAGCGGGGCGTAGCGGCAGGTCAGGTTGAAGCTGTCGATCAGGTCCAACACCGGCAGGAAGAAGATCAAGATCAGGATGCTGTACAGGAAGCCAACGATGACGTCCTGGAGGAAAAACAAAGAGAGAGACAGACGGTTACTGTTTACTGTTCCCAACCGACAAATAAAATTACACCAAACTCCATTCAGACAACAAGCATTTTAAAAGGTGTTTTTACCGACGGACCGACAAAGTATGAATACAGACTTTCTTTACAACTTAGCGTCATGATGTCGTTGTTTCAGCATCTTTTTGATCTGTTTATTGACATTAATTTGTTATTTTAAACTCATACCACCATTGTAAACCAGATTAAAGAGCGAATATTCGTCCAAAACTGCATCGGCTGATCTTGTAGTTTCATTCAAATACAGTTAAACTTCATTCAATCGTCAACATTTCTTGGAAATTGCATTTGAATAATAAATCTTTATCAGGTAACTTCTGTTGCGGAGATATTTATCAGTGCATTTTCTGCTGATGGACGCAGGAAGTTGAAGTGTTGACAGGAAACAGGAAATCAGCGCCTTCAACATGGCAGTGAACTCTGGACTCAAACACAAGAGGTCACAGCGGTCGTTTCTTTATTGACCCAGACTGACAGTTGGCTTCCTGCTGCGGCGTTTAACCTCTCACAGCGCCGACCGGCAACTCCTGCTGAGCCTTTCAAAACATTTCTGAACCGATGAGTCGCCGGATAAAACTGTCGTGTTGCACTTCTTGGTCAGCATCTGAAATAAACTAAATGCTTCAGTGATATTTTTACCTTCCTCCAGTTATCAGAGGTTTCCGTCAGTGTAACGCAAACCTCACGGGACCAAGTCGACCTCGCTGCCAGGAATCCCTGCTGAGCATCTGGGAATTATTGTTCTTTTATGTTCTTTTAAGATTTTTAATTCATAATATTTGCATTTTAATATAAAGGCAGTGGTAGTCCAGCCCGAGATTTAGACATTCAGCATGTCTTATGTATGTTTTTATATTTTGGGGGTTTCTTTTTTTTTATACTTTTTTCAACTTCTCATTTAATTTTTTATTCTTCACTGTTTAGATAAATATAGTGTTAACAAAATAACAAATTAGGCTGGTAAATTGGCAGTAAAGCTGCACGATTAATCAAAAATAATATCCATATCGTAATATGGTGCAATATCTAAACAGCATTATAATGAAGAGCTGCAGAGACGCCCTGACCTATAAAATACTGTTCTTCAGATGTAAGAAAATATGTTTGTTTGGTTCTTCAGACCTCAACATCATCAACATTTTAATGCAAAAATGATCATTCCCACTGATCACGAGTGAAAATAATTGTAATATGATTTTTATTTTCACCACATTGCGCACTAATGACAGGCAGAAGTTCGTTTAACAGTTAATGACAGCCTCATGTTGCCTTTCACACAGAGAACTGGTTTGTAGAGTTTAAATGATAAAGGTCTGATTGTATTTACCTACATGAATATTACGTAAACCTGACTCTCTCAGTGGTTGAATCTCTTAACCATTTAACGCAGAGCCTCTCTGTAGGGTTTCATTACGCTTGTGCACACAGTGGGTGGAGAGTGTAACACTTAATAGTCCCTCATCAGGCCAACCTGGGTGTGTACTGTGTTTACTTTAGACAGCCGGTGTCAATCAGTGTCTTCTTCCACTGGATAAGAAATCAATGAGGGTTACTGTAAATGTACACTCCGTCCAGCAGCCAAACGTTGGGACGTTTCAGCAGCGGCTGGAAGGAAACCAAAAGGTCCCGTTACTGTTTGAAGTATCTCACAGTCAGTCATTAACCCGTGCTGAACTACGAGAGCCGGGGCCAGCGGAGGTTGCGTCACGTGGCTGGACAGACCGACAGTTTATGGTCCACTGCAAGGACACATTTTACTGTCTGTGCCTCAGCAGAGAGATAACCAACGAGGAACCCTCTTCAGAAGGCGGCTGTGATTCATCGCCTTACTGCTGCCGCTGCAAACCTTTATCAGCCCTCTCTGACTTAACCACACACACACACACACACAGAGTGAAAGCTGTCTGTAATTTTCTCCTCCACTGACACAACTAGCTCTGCAACAATGAGCCGTCCCATCTAAAAATGTCCAGAAAGAGGACGAGAGGACGAGCGGGCGGCCCGGTGCCCGGAGGGGAGCGACGATGTTATTTGCTGGATGCTTTTATCTTAAAGTGCTTTACGCTGGAAATACAGGAGCGTTACATACTGAACTACTAATAACCCTGTATGAAAGCCTGAGGCCATGCGGTTCTTCCTTTATGACTTAATGGATGCTGCTATCAGTGTGGACATATGGACAGCAAGTGGATGATAGCAGTCTCTTATCTCAAGACGTAAACATGTAGTCAGATCGCTTTATTCATTAGAACTGCAGCTAATTATTACTTTCATTACTGATTTATGCCTCAGTTGTTTTCTTGATTGATTGTTTGGCCAATAAATGTCAGATAACATCAGTAAAAGCACCAAATATTCACATTTCAGAAGCTGAAACTAGTAAATGTTTGTCTGAAAGGTTCATCTAGTATGAAAATGTTATTTTTTTCTATAACTGATTAATTAATTGACTAAAAGGTGTTTTTGAAAGTCGATGGAAAGACGTGAGTAGAAGCAAAAGACAAGACGCATATTCACAGATTTGTCTACACACACGTGGATTGAGATACGGTAACACAACTCTGCACTGCTACAATAACGGATCCACAGACCGGAGAGAAACCGGAGCAGTCAGACGCTGAACTGAACACAGTTACAGGCGTATGAAGGTGTCAAATGTCATATGACTCAACCAAACAAACACAGAAGAACTAAGTTTTAAAATATATTTCTTGTTTTATAGCATCTAGTCATCGCTTCATCTTTATAGATCTCCTTGTTTGTCTTTCTCATCTGTCGTCTCTTTTAATTTATCCCTCCCTTTTGTTTTATCTTCCTTTGTTTGTTTTCATGTGTTGTTATGTTTATTTATTGTTTGGAAAGCACTTTGGATCTCTCTGTCAACAAGTACTTGCTTGCTTGCTTGCTTGCTTACTTACTATCTTCCCTTTGCGAGCACGGCCCGATGTAAAGCCAGTGTCTGGTTGTAGATACATGGTGGACTCCCTATAAAGCTGTACATATAAATGTTATATTATATTATATTATATTATATTATATTATATTATATTTCAGGAACAGATCCTCCTGGATGTTGCACACTGGACTGGAGTCGGGCTGCTGAAAGGTTTACAGCTGTTACAACTTCATGTAGCAACAACAAAGGAGGAGGAAGTGGTTTCATTGGGCGTGATGATTTCCAGAGCACATTAAGTACCGGCAGGCCCGGCGGAGCCGACCGCTAATGGCTCACCGTGTGTGCGAGCTCCACTCCCTGAAACACAACGGTGCGCGATTGATCCAGCTCTTCTAACGTCAGCTGACCCGAATGTTTCTGAGATCATCGTCTGAACAAATCCAGTTCATGTGGCGGTTAAAGAAAACACGAAGCTGCCGTCTGTGGCTGCTTTGAGTCATAACTCAGAGACATGACACAGCAGGACATATTTTTAGATCCGCTGCAGCTCGCACTTTCAGAGGATATCATCATCTGATGTTCGTTACGGATAAACCGATACAGCCACCGACAAGTAACAGAGAAAAGATGCTGCCTGGAACCTGAGAACGCGTTTCTGATTTGTCCTCTGGTGATAATTGTCCGTTCACTGCAAACAGGAAGTGCTAACAGCTTTAATTCAACATACTTCTAATGGTTCCTGTGTGGTCCGATCCAACACAAATGAACGGGGCTCAAGTTCAAGCCCACAGTGTAATTACACTTCCTGTTTACAACCCCTGAAGAATTAGCAGCAGGACAAAGAACAAGGGTCCAAATCAATTCATGTAACATTACTGAGAGCTTATAGATTAAATTAAATTCCAATAGAACGGCATAAATAAAGATTCATACAACAACTGTCTGGACGTTAAACTTTCCAAAGATCCCAATACGTCTGAATCGCAGGGATTTGTGTCCGACGATGGACAAGACATCAACATTTTTTCCAGTTGATGTAATGATGCTCGCAAGTAAGACTTAACTGAAGCTTTGGAAGCAGAAGATACAGATTAAGTGTGTGTGTGTGTGTGT